TGTTTGCCTATGTGGAATGAGAGGCCGATGCTCGGACGCTGTGGACGCTTCTGCCGTTCCAACGGCAGCAGTGGCTCGGGTTAATCGACCCGTTCCAAATGGAACGCATGCTCTCGTCTGACCGCCGCCGATGAGTCATCGTCGGATTCTGCACTGTGAGAGTGGTGGAGTCGCGTTTGGCCTCATTCCCCAATACCACACATTCTCTCTCGTTCGCTCCATTAGGAAGCACGGCATCCAAAGCAAGATCCGTCCAGTGCTTCAGTCCTTTTCCTACTCTTTTGCCTTCCTTCTCTCTTTTCTTTCTCTTCTTGGATCTCTCTATCTATGGTTGTGGAATCATTATCACCTTTGAGTAGTCCCTTTGATCCTCCTCCGCTCTTTTCGCTCATTTGCAAACACTTTCACGCACTCTTTTTGAGTGCAATCTCGGCGGTGATGATTCTATGTTGATTTGTTGTCTGCTTCTCGCTCTCTCTGCTTTTCCCTTTCCCAAACTCTCATACCATGCTCAATGTCGCCAATGTTCCCCTACATCACCACCAAAACAGTACTCACCAGAGCTCTAACCTCGACGTTGGTGGTGTGGATCTTCACCACCACCTTCACCTTAATCACAACAGGAACAACAAATCCTCATTATCACTCTCTCAAAAGGCATCTTATACCACATCAGCATCGTCATCACCTCTAGTCCTGCGCGTCAGCAAAACTGCGCCCAATTCGAAAAGCTCAAGCTCCACGTCACTTGCCTCGAGCAGCACTAACAATACTCAGCAGCAGACGCCCGGAACGCCTAGTCGCATTCCCGTGTACATCCAGAACCGAAACGGTAGCCAACAGCAGCAGCAAGGTCGATCTCGACTGAACTCACTCTCTGACACCTTGAAGCACTACCACCAGCTGCATCACCAGCTACTTCAGCAACAGCATCATTTGCAGCATCAGCAGCCGCTGAACCAAAGCACCAAACACAGCCTGAGCGCCCACCAGCTTTCCGACCTGCCTGAGGACGTCAAGTTGATGCACATTGTCCACTGTCACTGCAGCCACAATCTGAACAGTGCCAGCATGCCACGGTCAGTACTTGTTCTTGATTCTATTTCACCTTAATCTAATCTTTTTTTTCGATTCTTTTAGATCAAAGACTCACGACTTTACCGCCAACGGCCTTCGAAAAGGCGCCAACTCCTCTTCGGTGCCCTCTTCTTCGTCGACTCCAGGCACCTCGACGCCCAAAGGTCGCTGGCAGTCCAATGCCTCGTCATCGAATGGACGTCTGAGCAAGGCGAGCGCCGTCACTGCCGCCACCACCACCACCACCGCCGCCAACAACAACTCCACTCGAAGCAATGCTGCCTCTCGTTACGAGGAGTACCTGCCCCTCTGTGAGATGCAGAAGGGCCTGGAGAAGGGCGAAATTGTGGAGGTAAGTGCCAGGACTTTGTTTTTCGTTAAGTTTCTAACATCTTTTTGTCTCTTTTCACCACTCAGGGCATCCTCCGCATCAATCCAAAGAACTACAACGATGCCTATATCAGTGCTCCGGTAATGAACTCGGGTACTGTGATGATCTTTGCTAAACCTCCTCTTCTGAATTCCCCACTTTCCTCTTTTTGTTTCTTGCATGACGCCCCCTTTTGTTCGGTCTTCGGTCTTCTTATCTCAATCTTTGCTTCTCTCCCTTTCACAGGACGGCGGCCTGGACATCTTCATTGGCGGTTTGTATGACCGCAATCGAGCCCTCAACGGCGACCTGGTCGCTGTCAGGCTGAATGACGTCGACAAGTGGACGGTAAGATTTGAGGCTGGTTGTGCTGAGGTGACGTGTCACATTTTATAACATTTTGTTTTGTTTTTTTTGCAGCTCTTCCCCAGCTCAATCAACGCCCACTGGGACGAGTGGAAGGCGGACTTTGAGAAGGTGCTCGCCGAAGAAGAGGAAGCTAATCAAAAGGACATCATCCTCAGCCAGGCCCGGCTGAACCAGCTGCTGAACAGCGCCGACCTGAAGAAGGTGGCCATCGCCTCGAAGGCGCTGAAGAACGGCCAAAATGCTTCTACCATTGCTTCTGCCCCAGCAGGGCAGCTCACCGCCGCCGATCTGGAGCGCACCCTGGCGGTGGAATTTCCCCAGGTCCCCCTGGCCCTCTACCGCCTCGACCTGGCCACCCTGCACCGCCAGCTGCCGGCCATCTCGGGGCAGTTCATCCAGAAGAGCGGCAAGGTGGTGGCCCTCAGCCAGGCGAACCACTCTCGCGTTGTGGGAGGGACCATCGCCCTGCAGCAGGGCAACATCCAGAAGGCGAAGTTGATGTCCAGCGACAGCCGCGTCCCCCACGTCATGCTCCCCTATTCGAGCCTCCCGCGGGACTTTGTGCGCAGCTACGCCCAGCTGAAGGAGAACCTCTTTCTGGTGGAGATCACCGAGTGGAAGGAGAGCAGTCTCTTTCCCCACGGCCGAATCCTCCAGACGCTGGGCACCGTCGGCGACCTCGAGTCGGAGATGGAGGTGCTCCTCCGCTCGAACGACATCGACACGGCGGACTTTACCGAGGAGGCGCTCGCAGAGTACGACCTCTTCTCGGTGGACGGCTGGAAGATACCAGAGGAGGAGCTCAAGTACCGGCGCGACTTTCGCCAGCAGTGCGTCTTCACCATTGACCCGCAGTCGGCGCGCGACCTCGATGACGCAATCTCGCTGGTGAAGCTCAGCACGGGAGCGACAGAGAAGGAATCCGTCTACGAGCTGGGCGTGCACATCGCCGACGTCAGCTACTTCATCCGCGAGCGAACGCTGCTGGACGGCATCGCCAAGGAGCGGGCCACCTCGGTGTACCTGCCCAGTCGGGTGATTCCCATGCTGCCGCACCTCTTCTGCCAGCAGCTGTGCTCTCTGAACCCGGGCGAAGACAAGCTGACCTTCTCGGTGGTCTTCAAGATGACCGGCGACGGGCAGCTGCTCCAGGGCGAGGAAGGACGGCCCTGGATCGGCCGCACTGTCATCAACAGCTGCGCCAAGCTGAGCTACGAGCACGCACAGGCGATGATCGAGGTCCCCGCAGTGGAGGAGCTGATCAGTAGTCCGGAAAAGGCCGAAGCCTTCCCCGCCATCCACGGCCACTGGCCGCTGACCCTGCTGGCCACGCAGGTGAAAACGCTGCACTCCATTGCCAGTCGCATTCGAAAACGCCGTTTCGAGACCGGCTCCCTCCGTCTGGACAAGACGCGCATCGGCTTCCTGCTGGACGAAACCACCGGCCTGCCGGTGAGCTTCGCCAAACAGGAGCTGAAGGACTCCAACCGCCTCATTGAGGAGCTGATGCTGGCGGCCAATCGGGCCGTCGCCGAGCGCCTCCACGAGGTCTTCGCCCGCAGCGGCCGGGCCTTCCTGCGCGGCCACCCACCGCCGAACGCCAACAGCATGAACCAGTTTGCCGCCTTCGCCGCCAGCACCGGCTTCGCCGCCGACTTTGACACCAGCAGCTCGGGGGCCATTTACCGGTCGCTGGAGAAGCTGCAGCACACCGTTTCCTCTTCAGCTGGCGTGGACGCCGCCACTTCGACGGCCAACTTTCGCCTCTTCTCCCTGCACCTGATCAAGTCGATGAAGCTGGCGGTCTACCAGACGGTGGGCGACCAGGACAAACCCGCCTCCTACCACCACTACGCGCTCAACTTCCCCAAGTACACGCACTTCACCTCGCCCATTCGCCGCTACGCCGACGTCATCGTCCACCGCCTGCTCTGCGAGGCCCTCGGCTACGACCACAGTCACTGCAGCTCGGCGGACGCCACCGAGCTGCGCCGCATAGCCGCCAACTGCAACGCCCGCAAGCAGGCCGCCTTCATCGTCTCGGAGAAGGCGAATGAGCTCTACCTGAAGAAGTACATCGCCTCCATTGAGAGTCTGACCACGCCGGCGGTGGTCTGCGCCGTCTACGACCACTCCTTTGACGTGCTGGTCCTTCAGTTTGACATTGTCGTGCGCGTCTACCTAGACCGCCTGCCGCTGGAGCGCTTTGAGCTGCTGAAGGAAGACAGCGGTGACGCCCGTCTTCTCCTCCAGTGGTCGCCCAATGTGACCAGTGAAGGCCAGGGGGTGATGGGAAGTAATGTGGAAGAGGAAGTTCTCAGCCTCAAGCAGACCATCGTCAGTCTGCAGCAGCTTGACGTGAAGATCTCCGTCGACAAGAAGTTTATGTTTCACGTGAGTTTGTTTGGAGGTTGTTTGCTTTTTAGTTTACTAACTTTTTGCTTTTTCTACTTAGGTGCTCATTGCTCACCCCAACGGCGACTTTGTCTCCTCCGATTTGGTGTCCAGCGGAGCTGCTCCTCTTTCGGGCTCCGGCAAAAAGAAGGAGCTGGCTGGCAACTCGAAGCCTCGCAATTCGGCCAGCGAGAGTTCTACCAACGGCGAAGTGGTGGCCGAAGTGNAAGGAGCTGGCCGCGAGCAACAAGCCGCGAAATTCGGCCAGCGAGAGCTCTTCTACCAACGGCGAAGTGGTCAGTGAGATTTAGAAGACTGCCGCCTGATCTTTCCCATCCTCAGTTTTGGATGACTTTTTTTCATATCCCACCACCACCTCTTTTTGGCTTTTTTATTTTACTATTGACACACCTCTTTTTCACGCAACTCTTTTACATTACCCTTCCCTCTCCTTCAGCCAAACTTTGTTTTTCTGAATTAACTGTTAATCTCTTTATTGGATTACATTAATTAAAAAATAAAAAAGTTCTTAAAAACTCGATCACACACTGAAGTCCAGTTTACATGGGGATGTGTTAGATTAATTAGATAAANGATTAACTGTTAATCTCTTTATTGGATTACATTAATTAAAAATAAAAAAGTTCTTAAAAACTCGATCACACACTGAAGTCCAGTTTACATGGGGATGTGTTAGATTAATTAGATAAATTATTAAAATTTTACTTAGATAACGGGGGTGGAGGTGGTGGGGGTGCACAAGAGATAGAAGAGGGAGAGAGAAGGGGATTCTCTCTCATAAAGGATTCTTTTGATGTGTTTGGGGGTGTTTGATTGATTGTTTGATTGAAAAAGAAAGGCAGAAGAGACTGAGGAATGTGGTGGTGGTGGTGTTGGTAGAAGGTGGCGTTGTTAATAGTGGTGGTGTAATAGAGCAANTGATGTGTTTGGGGGTGTTTGATTGATTGTTTGATTGAAAAAGAAAGGCAGAAGAGACTGAGGAATGTGGTGGTGGTGGTGTTGGTAGAAGGTGGCGTTGTTAATAGTGGTGGTGTAATAGAGCAAGAGTAAGAATAAATAAAAACCAAGTACCTGGGCGCAAATTGAGGGTGTGTAAGTGGGTGTTTAGAAGAAGAAGAAAAGGAGGAGAGGAAAAAATCGGTGGTGGCGGCGGCGGCGGCGACAGCTCGTACAAGTGTGTGTGGGAGAAGAATAAGAAGAATAAAAAAGAGAAGGAAAAAAAGTTGGCACGAGCCACCGACGATCTTCACACGACGACCCCACAACACAGAGAGGAGAAAAGAAGGAGGGATAAAAAACATTGGAAGTGATGATGGTGGTGGTGACGGTGAAGGTGGTGATCATCAGCTCAATCGTCATCAAATCAACGGGCTATAATCTTAAAGTATGGGGTAAACGATGGGCACTTTGTAAGTATCGCTGAACGCGTCGCAGCACAAGTGGTGTGCGCGTGTTTGTTTCTAAGCATTTTTGTTGTTGTTTCTCTAAGCGGGACTGTCCTCATTCGCCGGACTGTCGTTGTCCTCGTGCTGGGAGCCGGTGAGGGAGATGTCGTCGCCGGTGCCGCTCATTGAGCCGCGCTTGTTGTTGGAGATGTAGTGGCGGG